CTTATTAAATACTGTGAAGTTTGTAATCCGTAAACATGATTTCTTATTTGGTGCACTGATTACCACAATTTTGATGAATAAAATATTTAAAAGGTGGCTGATATTTGAAAGCACATGACACGGAAACAAAACTGCAGAACAACGATGCATTTTTCTTTTCAGTGAGATCCATAAATCCTTTATACGTGTGTGTAAACATAATAAAATGGCGTCGTTGTGAACACATCAAAAATGTGCCCCCGCCCCCCAAAGAAAATACTATGTAGGTTTCGTACAGTAAAAAATAGCAACGCGATCCATAGAGATCTCATAAATGTGCAATTAAGTTATAATATTAGACGATTATCACGAACACTTAAAATTAATAAAATCTTAAGTTTATTACTTCCAAAAATCACAGAAGCACGCGCCAAACATAAACGATTGTCACAACAACGAAACTGGTTTGCAGGTCTGCCAACTAAAAAGACCTTAAGAACATCATCACATTAACAAACTGACGTTTCGAAGACGTGACGTCATCGTGCCAACGTACCTCATTACTCTAGAAGAGTTGTTTGTAACTAAAGATCATTTAACAACCGAAAGTCAACAAATTTTCAATTAAATCTGCGTAGTAAATTAATAATTTATAACGTCAATAATAAATACCGGTAAAGGTAAGGTAAAGTTTGTCCCACTATACGCCATGTAGGCGCTTGGGGGGAGTGGAGGTATAGCTCCTCTCTTCCTTGACCTCGGCACTGGACAGAGTTTAAACATGAGGCAATGAACTAAACGTAAAACTATTTATGATTTGAGGATTTCACGGCGTTGAGTCCGAAGATGTCTGTCTTCCGTCGCACAGTGTAGTCCGGTAGAGGTTCACCGACGTTTCAGAGGTCCTTGCTGCCTCCATCATCAGAGTGATGATCATAACAGACTACACGGCGCTACAATCCATAAGACTAGCTATCCTCTAAACGTAGAACGTATGAATAACAGAGCAGGTAAAATTTTAATACATAAATATTATCTGGACACAAATTGAGTTTAGAAATATGTACCTTCGTGGAGTATTCAGTCATTAGGCGCACATTTTCCATCTAGCTCTCCCTCTCTCTCGCACCAAAGCAATAAATTTCTGTGTTGAACTTGTCAGCGGCTTCCCATAACCCGCTGTAGCGCTGTACGCGTTGCCCCTGACAACCATGCAACCCGCCGTGCGCTCTCTCTCTCTCTTGTACCCTTCCCACTTTCAACTACTCTCAAAACCTTCATCCCCTCGTAACATCCACCCACTTCGCTTCCATAAATCTGGACGAAAGAGCCAACCCCTGGGGGAAATCCGAGGCGCAGAATGCGATGGATAGAGAAGGCGCAGAACGAGACGACTGGGCAGAAATATTAGGCTTGAGAAACAGGAAGAATGTTTGCGTGTGTCTGTGTTAAAAGAAAAGAAAGAAAAAGGTTTTGTTGATCAAAGGTGTTCTTCGCGGAGATGGCAGTTCACGGCCTCGTACGTTTTTACTGCATTCGCAGAGGATAATGAATTTTGCAAAACCATTTCGCCCACAAGAGCGACAGTACAATGTGTAATTCTTATCTATTCTTCTTTTATAGCAAAGACAAACAAGACATTAGTCCGCAAACGAACACCTAATTTCTCACTTGTAGTTTGTGAGATGTTGCTTCCGGGCAACTCTCAGCGACGACCTAGTTATCAATTTATTATTAACTGCAAATGGGTTTTTACCCGGTGGCAGTGGTCCTACAATAATACACAAAACAATAAGACACAACAAAACAATAAGACACAACAGAACAATGAGACGCAACAAAACAATGAGGCAGAACAAAACAAGACACTAAAACATAAGACACAACAAAAACAATAAGACAACAAAACAATGAGACAGAACAGAACAATGAGACAGAACAAAATAAGACACAAAAAACATAAGACACAACAAAAACAATAAGACAACAAAACAATGAGACAGAACAGAACAATGAGACAGAACAAAATAAGACACAAAAAACATAAGACACAACAAAAACAATGACACAACAAAACAATGAGACATAACAGAACAATGAGACACAACAAAACAATGAGACAGAACAAAACAACACATCACACCAAATAACACACCACACTCAAAGGCGGAAGTCCAGGGTACAGATACCGACAAAGTGACAGGCAACCATGACAGAATTCCTCAATGCAAGATTTTAAATAAATTAAGCCACAGCAAATTTCACTTCCTACCCAACATAATCGAAGTCATCAATTAAAATATCCCGTTAATATAATTTCGTTTAACTACAACAAAGAATTCAACGACGAATATAAATATTTTTAGTATTTTTCTCTATTTCTGAAAGTGTATGTACCATCAGAGTTATGAATACCTCATGCGTTCCCGATAATAAAACCTGAAACAGCTGTTCAATTTTTATTTAACTTCTCATGTAGAACACGCCAATGAAAATGAACAAAACTTCGTACTTTCAGGTACTGTAATATTATCTCGGCACAAGTGAGAAGCATTTTTGTATCAACCTAAGCAACTTGCAGTGTAGAATCAGATAATTTGTGTGCTAATATGCTTTTGGAAAAAAAAATGATAACTTGTTCAGGGAATTTGTGTCGGAAAAGCAAAGCTAGCCAATTTACGACGCGATGTAAACATTTATATTTCCTTTTCATCGGGCGTTTTCATATTGGTGCAACAAAACCAAATTTAGTAGGGTAACTGGTCTCCTTTCCAATGCGTATGAACAGTAAACCAACGTTATTTATCCCTTATTCAAAAATCGCCTCATAATTTAATAAAAATAATAATTAAATTAAATTTATTTACTTAAGTGCTTGACAACAACCAAAATAAGGCCAATAACAGCCGAGCTCTAACAACAGTACAACATAAAATATAATAAATAAATTCATTTCAATAATAATAAAAGTAAAACATTACAAACACAAATAGCAACTGGGTAGCTAATAAATCCTTTGAAAGGGTTACAAAGTTCAAATATTTGGGAACAACAATAACAAATCAAAATGACACTCATGAGGAAGTTAGGAGGAGATTAAATTTCGGAAATGCTTGCTACTTCTCAGTTCAAAATATTTTGTCTTCCCGTCTGATTTCTAAAAACCTGAAAATTAAAGTTTACAAAACAATAATCTTGCCTGTTGTTTTGTATGGGTGCGAAACATGGTCTCTCACTCAGAGGGAGGAACACAGATTGCAGGTGTTTGAGAATCGGGTGTTGAGGAGGATATTTGGGCCTAGGAGAGAAGACGATGGGGCGTGGAGAAAACTGCATAATTACGAACTTAAAAATCTGTACTCCTCCCCCAATATTGTCAGGGTGATTAAGTCGAGAAGAGTGAGATGGGCTGGGCATGTAGCGCGCGTGGATGGGACAAGATGTGTGCACCGGGTATTGGTTGGGAAGCCTGAGGGGAAGAGACCTCTGCGGAGACCTAGACGTAGATGGGAGGATAATCTCAGGCGGGATCTATGGGAGATAGGAGTTGAAGGAGACTGGATTTTGTTGGCCCAGGACATGGTCCGGTGGAGGGCTTTGGTTAATTCGGTGATGAACCTTCGGGTTCTGTAAGCCATCCAGTTAGTTAGTTTAATAATAATAGCAATCAGTCGAGTTATTACGGCCAAAAGCCCAATTTTTTTTGGCTGTTTGTAGACCAACCAAACAATCGATTCGTAATAATAATATTAATAATAATAATAGCACTCCGCTGTGTTCTTGCGAAATGAAATATATATTTCATTTCCCTCAAATTTTAGTGACCTGGCGGCCCACTACTCGCTTGATCGAAACATTTACTTCTGTTGGTAATTGCATAGATCTACTCTCGTTTTCAAGCAAGATGGCGGATGGCTGGACCGTAAACTGGTGAAAGTCAAAGCAATCACAGCTAATCAATCTTCTTTGCTTTCACTGGAACGTGTGCTTTCTCTGGCGAATATCACGATGTTATATAATTGGTTGGCGAAAGTTGTGTTTCGGAAGTTGACGATTGGTTTTGTTCTTAATAACGAAATACTATGAAATCGGATTATGTACAGAAATCCAGAGATGTAATTTCAATCGTAAGGCGAACCTTGTCATATGTTGCCAATCCACAAGAGAGTACTAATAACACAGGGCACAATTTTTTTTACATACTAATTTTGTGGCGCTGATTTCAAATATGACCTTGAAAAACACCTAACACGTAAGATTTCCTTTGATACGATAACTTTTACTTTTCCTCGTTTCCGTATACAGTACAAAGTTTAGACTTCAACTAATGTAATTTTTAAGGGGTTTATTTACAAAGCTGCTAGTAGTTTTCTTCCTTTCGATTTTCAAAGAAACCTTTCACAGATACAAAAGGTTTCCACGCTGCGAGTTCTTTAGCAGAAATTCTGGCTTCAATATTTCCATCGTCCAAAAGTTTTCTGATCTGAGGCCCGAAAAAATTCCTTCTTTCAACTTGGCATCACTAAAATTAGGAAAAATTCCCCTCAGATATTTGAATCCTTCTCCTTCCTTGTCCATTACTTCAACAAAAAAATTTATAAGTCCTAGTTTAATATGAAGTTGTGGTTAGAGAACATTTTGTGGGTCAACCAAAGGCTTGAACTTGATATTACTTTTTCCTGGAATTAATTCATTTCTTCCTGGTCAGTCTTTTGTTTCATAGTTCCTCTCTATTGCTCTACTGCCCCACATTCAGAGGAAACAGCAGGATTTAGAGAATCCCCCTTGGAGACCGAGTAAATCACCGCACTTTTGATGATTCTTTCAATATTTTCATAGGATTCTTTTAGGCCTACAGAATGTGCTACTAGAACTGAAACTCTTTCATTCCAATTGCGTAACAGCACGGCCTTCAAGCTGAACATTGACAAATCTATAAATAGTCGCCATTCTTATTCCTATTTCTTTCATAAAGCCATTAATATAATTACAATAGCATGTGCTTAAACGTCAAAACTCACCACTTAAAGTGAGGTTATGTGAGACTGCCAGTGTAGCCAACCTGCAAAAAAAAAAATATCCCTATGAAATCAAGAAATTCACTCATTTCGTAGACGTTAAGACAAAATACCACAAAAATGGCACGTGATGGAAAATTTTCAAGGCCATATTTTAATTTTACGCAAAAAAAAAATACAATATGAAACACATATTTTCATCCATAATACCGAAACATTGTTGATCGGTGTAATGCTTAAGTTCATGATCTGATTGCAAATTCGGAGCATATTATTTCGCTATATTTTGTAAGAATAATAAAATGTATGGAACAAACTTGTTCGCGTGTGGGCACATAACCTGTTACCCGCAAAAATTACACAGAACCAGTGGACAAAAAATAAATTATTTATAGATTAGAATCGTAATTACATTTAAAATATGTTTTAAAACTCAGTTACTCTGAATATTATTTCTTATTGGTTTCGCGTAATTCTCAGAATAAACAGGGATTATTTCCTTAAACAGCATTAACCAGTTGGTCTATGTAATGGTAAAGGATGACGTTTTCTTTGCGGTACGGACTGATTTCTTAAATGTTGTTTTAAAAAGATTCGGTTCCAAAGTTTTAATGTCATAGATATCCTATAATAGCGAAATTCTGCATAAAAAACGCGACTTATTACCACGACGAACGCTTGTACCGCTGCGATATCCTGCGTGTTTCGTCTCAGAAATTATTTATGGAATCTGGATCAAATTCGGTATCGTACGTAGGGTTTAAAATCGAAAGTTGTTAGTCAGATTTAGTATCAGTGCTGTTCACTCACTGTGGCTTCAGTTCCTGACGTTCGTCCCTTGTCGACGGATAATCCACAGTCCACGGTAATCGCGAACTGCGGATTACTCAGCTGACGGAGACTCAAAACTGAAATGTCAACACTTTCTCTCAGGCTTCAAGACTCAACTCGAATCCGACGAGATTTACCCGAAAAATACAGTGACAGTTTCTCGAAATTTCTCCACCGTTCTAGCCACGAGCTACTAGAAGTCGTCATCTTTTACCATTAACTTCGGGATTGTCCTCGATTCTTTACGGGTTGTGTGACCAAGAAGTGTTCAACATCGCGAAACGTTGCGCTCGCTTATAGTCGACAAGCTGCTTTGAGCTTGATATAAAAAGTTGTTGAGGGTATGTGAAAGTTTACTGACGCAATCACGAGCCACTAACGAGGACTTGCGACAATACAAAAGGTACCCAGCTCACCGTTAATGTTCCCAAGGTAGTCCTTTGTAAAATCTGTATGAAACACGTCCCCTTTCCTGGGTAACGTAAGGACATATTACATTATAGGATGACTTTAGTGTGATGTGTAAATTTACACTCAAATTTTAAAGATATTAAATGATATAAACTATAAAATTAATTATTTGGTTTTGTCCGTCTAATCACAATTATATTTAAAATTTACAAATAAGATAATTAAAATATCATTTTATGTTCCACATCGAATAATCTATTTACATTTCGATTATTCGATGTGGAACATAAAATGATATTTTAATTATCTTATTTGTAAATTTTAAATATAAATGTGATTAGACGGACAAAACCAAATAATTAATTTAATATTTGATTCACAATATGACGCAATTATACTATCTTATAAACTATAACATTGGTTATTTTTTTCACGTTATGTAGTGGATCAAAGAACCTTGAAGAACATAGTAATCTAATATATTTCTCCGTTATGTGTATATGCAAACCCCCAACAGAACTTAAAAACTGAATCACCACGCATTATTTAAACGTTGAAAATATTTTACGAAAATAAATAAGCTCTTCGCTGATGTACGTATTATATTAAGTTAGACTAGCGTGCTATTTGAACCTTAATCATAAATTTAATCTGAGTACGCGTATTAATCACTTACGTGTTTTCTTATGCATGTAGCGGCATTAGTTAATTAAGTAACTTCCGAAACTAAGTCCTTAAAATCAAGTTTTCTTTTCTTTCCGTCTTGCGTGCTACATTTATAGTTTATTCAAATAGCATGTTAACCGGTATAATAAGAGATAGGTACTTTTAACAGCAGGGTAAGAATGGCATAAGTAAACGAAGCAAAGAGAATTATAACTATGAGGTGCGATCGGAAAGTTTCAAGACTGCGCGTATAGAAACCCGTACACTTATCTCAGGTATTAAATTCATCCATCATCCTCGAAGTAGTTCCCCTGGGAGTGAACACAACGATCCCAGCGTCGCTGCCAAGCCTGGAAGCATCCCTGGAAATCTTTCTTTGTCAGCCTGTCAAGCACCATCTGCGATTCTGCCTGAATCTCTTCTATCGTCTCAAATCTCCTTCCCTTTAGCTGAATTTTCATCTTTGGGAAGAGGAAGAAGTCACACGGAGCTAAATCCGGCGAATAAGGAGGGTGCGGGAAGACGGCCATGGTGTTTGAGGCCAAAAACTGCCGAACTTTGAGGGCGGTGTGCGCTGGCGCGTTGTCATGATGCGTCGCATGTGGAGTTCTTCCTTTAGAATCAGCGGACAGGTCCCATAGCCTATCCCAACAAGGTCGCACAAGTCGTTGATGGTACGACGATGGTCGATCTTCGTGAATGGCCTGCCGAATCTTCCTAACATTTTCGGGCGTTGTGCTCGAAGATGGTCGTCCACTTTGGCAACATTTGATGCACACGCCATTCCGAAATCGCAGGAGGGTCGGTGTAATGCACTACCAAAACGCCCGTAACTAAGAAACAAATGCTAATTCGATGATGCCGGCTGGCACACTGATTCACTATGAATGTAGGCCCAACCCCTTAGCGGCAGAAGCTCGTACTACATCCGGTTCGCCCTCTATTGACACAGTCTTGAAACTTTCCGGTCGCACCTCGTATTTCGTCATGCTGCGCGCTTTAAGTAAATGACACTTTCTGTTATAAACGTTTCTCGGAGAACAGGATAATTTCTGTCTGCATTGTGTTTTGTACGTGTTTCCCATTAAACTGCAATTACCAAGCCAAAGTAGAGATTGTAATAAGGATTTAAGGCAGGGTCAGCGTACTAGAATGTAATCTACAGACAAGCCGCAGGGAAATGTTTCTTTTTCCAACCATGAATAGAATGTCCAATATATTCAACTTCCGTTCGTACTATGACGCGTTCAAATACGACCAGTAATGCACTTCAAAATAATCTACTCTAAATTTGAATTTGTTCAAGAAATAAAAATGACGAAGGACCGATTACATATTATAAAATTATATCAGAACACCTATTTACACACGATTAATACTATTAATATGTGTAATAAATAAGACCGATTGACGAACACTCAAAACGAGCAAATCCACGGAACAAAGTCCTTCTTGAGAAACCAATAGTCGCTCATCTCGTCGAAAGATTGTTCTCCTTATGTGAAACCAAGGTTTCATTACCTTGTTCACAAGACCTCTTCACTTCAGGTAGAAGTTTGCCGACGTTTCGGAGGACATACTGCCGCCATCATCAGAGCGCCCTGATGATGGAGGCAGTATGACCTCTGAAACGTTGGTTGAAATCTATCAGACTACGAGTATGCAGGGGTCATTAAATTGTCTCAGTATTTCCAGAGCAACGTTTTGTACACATTTATCTTCACTGCCCTGCGTGTTATATGTCAACTCTACTCATTCTCATTGATTCGGTCACTAGAAACAACGCTTGATAAAAATACAATTTATAGAGGACCTTATAATGAACAAGAATTGTGTTTTTTACATAAGTAGCAGGTTTTGACACCAGTGATCATGTGGTCTCTCATGGATTGAACCGACAAGCTGAAATCCTTAAGAGGGAATCTTGGAGGATTATGTCAGACACCACAGACGTCTGCCGCGGACGGATACAAATAGATTGCTTCCCTCTGTCTTAAGAGTAAATAAAATTAAAAATATATTAAAATTGGCCGTCAAGCACAATATAAGATAATTAAAAGATTAAAATATCATTTTTCGTTCCGTATCGAGTACTCGATTAACATATGGAACATTTACGACATGTTTCGGCTATCATAGAGCCGTCATCAGGTGTTATGTTATAAACTTTTTAACTGAATTACTGATTTTTAATGCTTTTAATATATTTTTAATACTATTTAAATAAATCACAATATGACGCACCTACAATATCTTATCTTGTAAATAAAATATTAAACTGATGACAACGAAGAAGACATCGAAATCTTCACTGTAGAAATTAAACCATGCCAGTTTAAGAAAAGTTTCTGTCATCTCTCAAGGAACAAAATTTCCGAAACAGATCACAGCCCGTTCCTTCTACAAACGTTGGACTTTACCAATCGTATGTCCCGACGTTACGTCATATTTATATCGGAAAGCTACGTCATTACATCAACTAACAACATTTTTAATTTATCTAACGTGGCTTTCTCAACTACACACGCAATATGGTATTTTCCTCAAAGGTTAACCAAAAAGGAAGAGGTCGTGATCTATTCCAAGGTGATGTACCAGAATTTTCACGCACAGCGGGTGAGAAAGGACACAAGATTAATTCATCGCCCTGATGATGGAGGCAGCAAGGACCTCTGAAACATCGGTAAACTTCTACCAGACTACACGGCGCAATAATCCAGGAAGCAGCCATCTTCTTTAGTACAGTGCACATAATGTATTTATTATAAAAAATATTAAGTATATATATTAAATTCTTGTCCGTCTAATCACAATAAATTCTTATTAAATATTAAAATATTACAATAATTAACATTTAAAATATTTAAAATATTAAATGATGTTCTTTATCGAAATATTCGATTTACATTAGACCATCACTGATTGTCTAATGTAAATCATTTAATATTTTTAAATATTTTAAATGTTAATTATTGTAATATTTTAATATTTAATAAGAATTTATTGTGATTAGACGGACAAGAATTTAATATATACTTATTATATCACAATATGACGCAACTTTACCATCTTAAAAAATATTCAGTATTTAGTAAGATTTTCCTGGCTTGGTTTAATATTATTACGCCACTCAGGT